AAAAATCATCCAGGCGTCCCCTGGGCAACGTCCTTGCAGACGGCGAATTCTCTCACAACAGGAGCGGTTGCTTCTGACACGACAAAAAAACATGTGTTAAACTCAAGACCCACGAGCCAAATCTGGCCCTCCATGTCATTGTTGTGCTCCCCCACCCCCAAAGTATGCTGGACTCATGTATTCATCATCATTAGATATCAAGACTAGCTGATGGGAGTTGTGATACAGTAACATCTGATGGGCTGCATTGTTCTATTTAGACATGATAGTGAGGTTTGAATTCAGATGCAAGGCTTGTGGATAGGATGCCTGACTTGAAAATCCCCTTTAACCTTTCCCCAACCTCAGAACTACCAGGGTTATTGAGTTGCGATTACCATTATCCCAGTATAGGGTTTCATTCATTTACCATTTCTATGTATTTCTTTTCTGTCAGTAGATTTAAAGTAGTTTACTATTTGAGAACCAATATGGTGTGGGAGTTTGACTAGGACTCTCGAGAGGCCATGCTTTAAATCCCTACTCAGCCATAGAAGTGTACTGGGTAGTCTTGAACAAGTTACCTTTCACAACCTTAAATGAAGGCAGTGGCGAGCTTCCTCTGAAATATCTTGCTAAGAAAACTGCATGCGAGAAATTCGATTCAACACATAACAATACTGAAAGTAAGTTTACCGTTTATAACAATGGCATGCTGTCTAGCAGGCATAAAATAGAATGAAAAGGAGTTTGGAGAGCAACAGAAAATGAGGACATTTAGTCTCCAGTTTCCATACACCACCACATAATAGCTGCAGTAATGGTGCAGAAAAAGAACAGTTCAGAGAGGAATAATGTAAATCTTAGTTGGTTGCAGGCAAGCTGTTGAGTTAGGTCATCCTATTATCCCCTCTTTCTCAGGTATCATTCCTGTTCATTTACTTTGACTCCTTATCCTAGTATACTCTGTTGTTATTATGTGTATGTGATTATGTATGTGTGATTTCAACCAACAATGAGTTAAACCCATTGTTGGTAGGACATTGCTGGTAGGACTGAAGACCGACAGGTCGGAGGTTTGAATCCAAGGAGAGCGCGGATGAGCTCTCTCCGTCAGCTCCAGCTCCCCATGTGGAGACAAGAAAGAAGCCCCCCCAAGGATGGTAAACCATCAAAACATCCAGGCATCTGATGGGCAACATCCTTGCAGACAGCCAATTCTCTCACGCCAGAAGCAACTTGCAGTTTCTCAAGTTGCTCCTGATACGGAAAAAAACACCCAACTACATTTATATTATTCTCTCTTTGAACTGGGCTCATACTAGGTGAATCATAACTGTATAAAGGTGATGCTTTGTAATGTGCTGCACAGCTGGGATCCAGCCCACCAAACACAGCTGGCATAAAATGGTTTGCCTGAAAACCACTGATATAAAAAGGACAACAACAACAACATATATATATATAGAGAGAGAGAGAGAGAGAGAAGCTACATTGTAGTTATATAGGCTGAGTATTCCTTGGGTACAGAAGTACTTCAGATTTTAAAATATTTTCATATACAAACCTTGCATACATAACCTGAAGGCAGTTTTATACACAATACTTGCAATAATTTTGTGCATAAAATAAAGTATACATACATTGCACCCTCAGAAAGCAAAGGTCTCACTGTCTCGGCCACCCACATGGAGAATTTTGGGATCTTATTTTACTGTTCTGGAATTCCAGATAAGGGATACCCAACCTATACTTCCTTGATTGTGTTCCAGCTCCTTAAAAGGTTAGATTGTTTTGTAAAGTAAACATTGCTAAACAGAATTTGAATTTATTTTTAATCAACTAACATATTGTGAGCCTTCTCTATGTATATTGCATGTTCATATTTCCTGTTTTACAGTTAACTACATACATTTATTTATCTTTTTTATAATTTTAAACAAGCACCCCAACTGCCCCAATTTGTCATCCTTGTATATTGTTGTGCTCATATGAGTCTAACCTTTACAATAAGCATTTTTTTTGTCGTGTCAGGAGCGACTTGAGAAACTGCAAGTTGCTTCTGGTGTGAGAGAATTGGCCGTCTGCAAGAACGTTGCCCAGGGGACGCCCGAATGATTTGATGTTTTTTATCATCCTTGTGGGAAGCTTCTCTCATGTCCCCGCATGAGAAGCTGGAGCTGATAGAGGGAGCTCATCTGCCTCTCCCCAGATTCGAACCTGCGCCCTGTCTTCAGTCCTGCCGGCACAGGGGTTTATTTATTATTTATTTATTTACTTCGCTTGTATACCGCTCTTCTCAGCCCTTAGGCAACTCAGAGCGGTTAACAACAATTTCAATATACACAGTACAAAATCATTGGACATTTAAAAGCATAGCGATTAAACATCAAACATCAATACATCAATTTAACAAATCCATCACATCTCATCAATAAAATCAGAATCCAGTGTCAATATCCATTATTCCGTGTTCCAATAATCAATTGTACTGCCTAGTTGAGTGCCTGTTTGAACAGCCAGGTCTTCACTCTCCTCCGGAATGCCAGTAGGGAGGGGGCCGATCTAATATCCGTAGGAAGGGCATTCCACAGCCGAGGGGCCACCACTGAGAAGGCCCTGTCTCTCGTCCCCGCCAAGCATGCTTGTGAAGCCGGCGGGATCGAGAGCAGAGCTTCCCCAGACGATCTTAATGTCCTAACTGGTTCGTAGGAGGAGATGCGTTCGGACAGGTAAGTCGGGCCAGAACCGTTTAGGGTTTTACCCACTGCGCCACCGGGGGCTCACAATAAGCATATGCCTGATATTGCTGATGACAGATCACATTCTCCCTCCTAACAATAATCACAATGACACAATCTCTCTCTTTGGTTAATTTCAGAAATTGGTCCTTTGTTCTATTTTCTCTGTGGAACGGCTAAATCAGCCCAAACCCATGCTGCCATCTAATGGCATTGTGAACTAGTGCTGGGAAGGGGCTTTAGCTGTTGTCTCATTGGCAAGATTGCCTATAAAACAAACTCATAGGCCAGAGAAATAATTGAACAAATCAAACTGTTTTCTTTTGATATCTGTTTCTTGACATTCACAGAAGTACATTTTATCCAGTGTGAATTGGTTGCTCCTTGACCCATCCTGGTCTTCCTAATAACAAATTTATTGCAATGGTGCAAAATGTTCTCATGGCCTCGGTGTGAAACCCAATTTTCTAATTAAAGCAGGTCACTGTTCCAATGGCATTTGGAAAGTCACAGATTTCCCACAAAAACATTCTTTCCAATATCAGTTTTCTACCACTTTTCATCTTTTTTTTAAAAAAAATGGAAGCTCCTTAGTGTATATTATCTTAAAATGTTACAAATCAAGGGTCAGTGTTATCTTATAAACAGCTCAAATGGGCACTGATTTCTATTTTTGTTCTTTATTTTTATTTTTCTGCCAATTGCTCAAAATTAGACTCAGTCGGTGATGTCTTACAGTTGGGGAAATACAGTGGCTTTTATATTTAAAAAAATAGTTAATTTTTTTAAAAAATGCCTATAAAAAGACCTATGTATTTAAAAAAATAGTTAATTTTTTTAAAGATGCCTATAAAAAGACCTATGTAAACAGCTTGTTCAATGAAATTAGAATGTATCATACAACACATGTACAACTACTAAGGCTACAATCAATTGATATTTTCTAGAATTGTATGAAATTTAAAGATATTTACATGCCTATAACAGAAATGTGTAATATTTTTAAGTTACACAAGGCTCATGTACCTGTTTCTCTTTTAAGCTTGTTACAGCTGCCTAAACTTGATGCACGAGTTCCTGATGAGATGCTGTATGGCCGTATGGGGTATTTGTATGCTTTGCTCTTTGTGAATAAGCATTTTGGAGAGGAAAAGATTCCACAGGTCCATATCCAACAGGTACAGTGCCCATGTTCTTCATATACATATACTACTGTGATCATCCAACCTCTAGTATGTTGTACAGTTTATTGGTAAGTGTGCAAAATAAAGATTCTGCTTGTAACATGCCAAAAATGTTGATTTAAAGTTCTTTTCAGTTATGAACTCAGTGGACAGCCTTATCCTTATGTCCCTGCCCACCTAATGAACGTATTGAGCCCCTTTTTCAAAGTTGTAGGCTTTACTCAACTGAAGTGAACACAAAGCTCAAGTGTTCTAAAGATATGCAACAAATACACCTGTTAAAATTACACTAAACAGGCTTGTTCTTCACACCTATGAGTGAAATACATATCTCAACATTTTAACTTTTAGATATACATATTGCAAGAAGTGCTCTCTGTTAGCCGTCCAAATGTGCCAGTGGCTCATTTACACTTAACTGTGAGAGATCCTCTTGGACAACCAGAAACCTGGCATATGTTGTGAGGTTTTACCACTGTAGAAAGTATTTGTAGGGTATAGCGGCCACATACACTTTTAAAAATGTTTTTTTTTAAAAAATGTGTCATTGGCAAAATGTTGAAGCCTCCAGCCAGCTATTTCTAGAGATGTTGGACTTGGCCGCAACAACACGCACCTTGGCTGCATCCAGTTTAATTTACTATAGCGCTCTGTATATGGAGCTTCCTTTGAAAAAGTGTCAGAAACTGTTGTTGGCCAAAAGACTGGCAGCCAAGTTGTTAACTGGGGATGATGATGATAGTTGTAGTAATAATAGTAACAATAATTTATTACCTGTCTTTCCTTGTGGCTTGGGGTGGGGAACACATGATGTCTACAGGGAACATGTAATTCCTTTACCACAAAGGTTTCACTTGCTGCCAGTTCATTTCCATCCACAATTCAAAGTGCAAGTTATGACCGATAAAGACTTATATAGTTCATGTTCAAGCTGTCTGAAGGACCTAATAGCATCCTGTATGAACCTGCCTAATCTCTTAGATCACTGGTGTCAAAACTGTGGCTCTTCTGGAGTTTTGGACTTCAGCTCTCATAATTGGTCAAGCTGGTTAGGACTTCTTGGAGTTGGAGGCCCAAACATCTGAAGTTCGACACCTTCGTCTTACATCTTCAGAGAAGGCCTTTTTTCAGTCCTACCATTTTCCAATGCGGATTTGGTGGGAGCAAGGGAGAGGGCTTTCCTGGTGACGACTCCCAAGCTTTTGCACTCCTTCCTAAGAGAGAGACTAGGATGGCTTCCACCTTGCTTTCCTTCTGCCCCATTTCTCTTCCTACAAAATTAAAAAATTGAGAGTGATGGGATTTTCATGGTCACTGACTTTTCATCTTCTGTCTTTTAATGGGTTTTAAATAGTTCTGGACGTTGTTCAATGGCATCTTAATAATAACTCTGTATTTTTAATTGATGTTTTTCTTTATATTTTCATCTTTGTGAATTGCCTTGAGCCCTTGTATGAAGGAAAAAGTGGCTTATGAATTAATGTTGCTGTCCAGAAGACTGGACAGTGAAGATGTAGTAATTCATAGAAATGGATAAATTATCAATGTTGGAGGATAAGCCACTGAACATGTTCTTGGAAGAATGGAAACCATATTATCATTATATATCTGAGGGAAAAGGAAAGACTTTATGAACCGGTTTGGAGACATAAAATTTTGGGATTGTCTCTTGTAAGTGTTAAAACAAGCAGAAGTAAACAATCCACTGGATATAAAGTGTAAGAAAAATGTTAAATTTATAGAGAAACCAACAAAAGAGAAGCTGGGAATCCATTTTTAAAACTAATTTATGCATAGGTTGGTAGATTTAGAGTTGGTAGGTTTAGAGTAGAGATCAATAGATAATGGTTGGCTAAGTATGTCTTTGTTTATGTATTCATATGTTTATTCATTGTTGCCTTTATGCTTGTTTTTTGTTGTTAAAACATTTAAAAATATTGAAAAAATGAATTAATGTTGTTGCTTCTAATCTCTTTTTTATTGCAGGTTTGTGAGGCAGTTTTGGCATCTGGTGAAAACTTAGCTAAAAAGCGAAACTTCACAGCCAAGAGCCCACTGATGTATGAATGGTACCAGGAGTACTACGTAGGAGCAGCCCATGGCCTTGCTGGGATTTATTACTATCTCATGCAGGTGAGGACCTTCCTGTTGAACTGAGAGGGCTCCATTCTGCCTCAGCTGCTAGTTTAAGAGGTCTCATGACTATATCTTAGCTGCCATCACAACCACTATAATGGTCCAATTCACAGATCCACAACCTTAGAGGGCCAGCTGTAGTTCTGTAACAGCCTTTGCTAATGTTTCCTTTCCCGGAGTACATTATGCCAAATTACTAGTGAAGTGCAGATGACTCCAGTCACTTTAGAGGTACTTGAAATGATAAGCAATAGATAGAGAGGAAGATTGGATCACCTGTTTCCCCTTCAGAGACCTGTTCAGTGTGCAGCTATTTTCCAGAGTGAGGTTTTTGACAGGAGAAGGAGGATTTCCTTGGTCGTGGTGTCCTAGCTCTGGAATGGCCACATTGTTTGATCATCAGGTTCCCTAACTGCTCGCTTCTTGGAGATTTGCTGGAGAATATGCTTTTCATGGTGCTGCTATTTCTGAATTTTTGGAGCTGGTTGTTTTATTGTTTTGTTGTCTTTGTTAGCTAGCATATTTACTCGAGTCTAATGCTCACTTTTTGGGAGTAAATAACTCAAATTGATTAGATTCAATGGTGCAATAGAATCACGCACTTAAGCTCTCTTGCACTGTTGAACAAGAGATCCCACACATAAGGGAGAGGAAGCAGTGACTGGGAAAAGATTGGTGAGAAGGCCAGATGGAAGGTGCAGCTTTCCACCATGCTTTTCGTAGCCGCCACCACCTGATGTTACATCTGAAAGCAAATCTTTTTTTCGTAATGCACACCTTAAAAATTGAGATGTGCATTACAGTCAGTGTTGCATTATTCTCAAGTAAATACAGTGCCTTATTAATCCCTGTATTTAAGAGGTCATCAGTAATCCTTTTTAATATGTAGCCATAACATAGGCCATTAGTCATGGTCAATAATATATGGAGCAACATGAGCTTGCACCAAGGCTGAAAGAGTTGGGAAAGTAGTGGCACCTTTAATAGCTTTATAACCAGTCCCGACTGTTGAACAAAGTTTCTGTTTATCACAGATGTAACAGAGTGCCTTTCTGTCTGTCTGTCTGTCTCAGCCCGGCCTTGGAGTGAGTCAAGCAAAGCTACACAACGAGGTCAAGCCAAGTGTGGATTTTGTCTGCCAGCTCAAGTTCCCCTCAGGCAATTACCCCCCGTGCATTGAAGACAACAGAGACCTGCTTGTTCATTGGTGCCACGGGGCTCCTGGTGTTATCTACATGCTCCTCCAGGCCTATAAGGTAGATGGATTACTGGGAAGGGAGATTTGAGTAACCCAGCAAAATAGGCTCTCATCCGTTCCTCAAGGAGGTTATAATATTTAAATACAGTAACTTTCCCTCCCCAGCTAAAACGGAAATTAGACTTTTACAAATGATTCCCAGAGATGTCCCTGTTATGCCTCCTGAGTGCGGGACATTCTTATTGCTCAGAGGATTGGCCATGTGTCCTGTTCTCTGGCGGTTGACCAATGGTGACAGCCAGTTGTGACTTAAAAATAATAATTATTATTATTTATTTGACCAGTCATATGACCATTTCAAAATAGAACATGAGTAAAAAAAAAAACAAGGCAAAAAGGTGAGGACAGCAGCTGACCTATTTACAGTCAGAATCTTATTTTCCTGGTTCTTCTTTCAGGAAATCTGCTCTTTTCTTAATAGCTTTCAGAATAAAAAGGCTTACTCTGATTAAGTTGGATCTGACATCCTGTCCTTGCAAGAGGGATGTCAGAATATCATTTCTGTTGGGGGACCTGCAGTTGGATAATATTGGATGTAAATATCTGTCTCGCAGTTCAGTATATGCTGTATAGTATAGTCAATTAAGAAATGTTCAATGTCTTCCACTGTTTGTTCTCCCCATACGCAGAATCTCTCACTTCTTGGGATGTTACAGGAACGCCCGGTTTGCATCATAATACTGAGTTGTTCAAACCTAGCCCTAGTATATATTCTTCTTAAGGGTAGTGGAAGTGGAATAATTAGGTAGTGCTCTAAATGAATATTCCTTTTGTGGGAAGCTAAAAACCTTGTGGTTGAAGACTTACCTATGCTCTCTAAGCCCAGCTGTGCATAGACATCCCGAATGTGCCGCTTGAGCACTTGCCCTGCCCCCGGACCCAGAATACCCAGAAATTGCAAAGGCAAACCGAATCCAGCCAACTCATTATTCAGAGCCGCCATCCACAATGACTTCTGCTCACGCTGGACTTGATCCTCTAGACATAAGCGAGGAAGTCTACTGGGATCCATACAGTTTACTTTTGACCAGTAATTAAACTGTCTCATTAAGATTTGAGCTTTCACTGGGGGCATTCCTAGCTCCACCCTTACTGCCGCCATCAGAGTTGTGCTGGAAAGGCCCAGGAGGGTGCGAAGCTGCTTAACTTGGAAGGCTTCAATCTTGACCAAATTGATGTGCCCCAAATTTCAGCCCCAAATATAAGTGTTGGCATTATTTTTGTTTTCAAGACTTCCAGGGCAGGTCTGATTGTGCCTGGGTATCTATGAAGGTACAGCTTGTAAATGGAACCTGCTGCTTTCGTTGCCCTTTGTACACTATGAGTAATGTGGTTAGCCCAAGCACCAGATGAAGAGAACATAATGCCTAGATATTTGTAGCAATTAATTTGTTCCAAATGTACGCCTTTCAGGGACCACGTGTACCATTTCCTGTTTTTTCCAAAGACTATAATTTTGGATTTATCCTTGTTCATAATGAGTGAATTTAGCTCACAGTACAAATTGAATTTTGCCAGGGATCTTCTTAGTCCCACTGGAGTTGTTGCCATAATCACCATGTCATCACCATAAAGCAGGATGTTAATAGTTCTGGACAAAACTTTAGGACCATGTAGACTGTCAGAGGATAATGTATTTACGATGCCATTTATATAGAAGTTAAAGAGAAAAGGGGCTAAAATGCACCCTTGTCTGGTTGTGACTTAAATAATGGCAACGCTCCTTCCATTTATCACCCTTTGAAGGTAAATGGCAAAGTTGTCCAAGTGAGGGAGGCCATTCCTTGATAAAAGAGCTAATTAGCAAAAGTATGCTTCACACACTTTTCTGTCCCAACCTTTGTTGATGCAAGGGACAGTTGCTTATACAGCGGGGCTCCTTCTCTCTACAGGTATTTGGAGAACAGAAGTACCTAAGCGATGCCTTGCAATGTGCGGAAGTGATCTGGCAGTGGGGGCTGCTGAAGAAAGGTTACGGTCTGTGTCATGGTACAGCTGGCAACGCATATGCCTTCTTGACACTTTACAACCTCACTCAGGACATGAAATATCTCTACAGAGCTTGCAAGGTGAGCAGAAGCTGCAAGAGAGAGTAGCAGGCTTCGGGAAAGACAAGAAATAATGTGTGTGGCATGAGCAGAACAAGCTTTTGTTTCTGGGAAGTCATTAAAAACAATTCTGGGTGGGAACAAGGTCATTTTGACATTTAGTTTCATGGAACTAAACAGTGGTACTAACGCTTGATTATTGTAAATGGCAGATGACTAACAACAGAAATGTAAGTAATAATGACAGATGACCAATAAATTGCAATATAACTGATTAAGCTATTCACCATATGAAAATAATGTAAGCATACTCTTACAGTTAATACAGTGTGATTTAAAACAATAAAGCATGCTCTTAAACATTTTCTTTAAAAAAAATTCAGTTCGAAAAACCTGTCTGGAAAAAAAAAAACTCCTTGGCTGCAGATGGAAGAACAGCAAGAAGGAGGCATTTTATTTGCTCTAGGAAGAGAATTCCAGACTCTAGGAGCTGTTACTGGAAAAAGTCCACCTGCATTCCCAAATCTGAAGGTGGTGGGACTGATAATGTTTGAACACTCCTGATGATTTCCAGTGTTATGTTATTTGTTGATATAGACAACAGCTGAATCATTTGTTTTACAGCTAGCTCAAAACTTTTCAGTATCCCCCTACTCCTTGCAGTCTCCGACTGTCCGAAGAGTTTTGAGCCATGGATTGAACTACCTTTAAAATATTTCTTAAGAATTTGGAACACATCTAAATTGCAGATGATGAACATTGACAATCTATGGAAAACAGTCGTCTTTATTATATTTTATTTTTCAACCTTTTAAAATTGTATTGTGCTTTTTAAATTATGGCCAAAGTGTGACATCGTCATCCGCCTTGAGTCCCCATGGAGAGAAAGACGGGATATAAATAAAGTAAATAAATAAGTAAATAAATAAGTAAATAAATAAATAAAAATGTATTCCCTACTTATGAGTAAATTTTGAAAGAAGAACTTCCTATAATATGTGCAACAAGTTTGTTTCAATTTTTCCTTGTTTAGTTTGCAGAATGGTGTTTGAGTTATGGACAGCATGGGTGTCGAACACCAGACACGCCGTTTTCTCTCTTCGAAGGTAATCTCGGTTTCCTCTTCTTTCACCCATGTGACTGTTTCTCTTTGATCACAAATAACTAGTGATGGTGAGGTGGAATATGTTCTCCTAGCAGAAAATTTCAGAAAAGAAACGTACACATGTCCTGGTCAAATCAGTTGTGGAACTGTAGTTCGAGGATGGTAGTTCATGGAAAACACTACAGAGCAGCTGTAGGCAAAATGTGACTTTCAAGACTTCATTGGACTGTATATCTTAGCAATCATGGTCAGCTTGCCCAGTTGTGAAGAATGCTGGGTGTTGCTGTCCAGCATTGCATGATGACTGACTCTTCTATAAAGTCAGTCAGCCTTCGTTGTGCTAGGCTTGGCTTCTTTTGCACCACTACTTTAAACTGAAACAACAGTCATGGATTCATTGGAACTGAAACAATCAAGGGATGCAGCAGGTGTCATATTAACATTTGTTCCATACAGTTACATTGGAATTATCTTCCAGTCAATGGCAAACATTATGGCACTTAACATGTTGTTGTAAGGCACATAGATTTCTAGTCACCCTTCATTGTGACCACGTTGTCGATTTAAAAGAGAGCATTTCTAAAGGCCACTTGAAGTGAGTTCATAACAGAGGTGGAACTTGGGACAAGGATTGTTTCACATACAAAGTCACTGGGCTGCATGAGCCTTCATTGGAGTTTTCTGCAAACATCCTCTCTTAAGCAGCAGCTTGACATTTTCCTGTGCCTTTCATCATCTGCAGCCAAACCAAAGGGAGGACTCCAGAAATAGGCTTTGCTAGACCCGCCTGGTCTGCTTTTCCATGCCCACAGAGGCAATCATATGCTCATATAGACATCAACAACATGAATAAGTCAAGGGCAGATTTGAGAGCCACATCTATGGATTTTGATATGACCCTTGGATAGATCAAGAGTAAAGCATACGGGTATATTGCAAAGGATGTAAAGGACAAAGCAAAGAAAAACAATGCCAAATTGCATACATAATTCCCACAGGAATAATTACAATGCATGGTGGCTATGAGATAAACTTTTTTTGTGTGTCAGGAGTTACTTGAGAAACTGCAAGTCGCTTCTGGTGGGAGAGAATTGGCCGTCTGCAAAGACATTGCCCAGGGGATGCCATTCTGTGGGAGGCTTTTCTCATGTCCCCGCATGAGAAGCTGGAGCTGACGGGATGGCACTCACCCCGCTCCCCGGATTCGAACCTCCGACCTTTCGGTCAGCAGTTCAGTCAGCACAAGGGTTTCACCTATTTCACCACTTGGGGCTCCTATGTGATGAACTAGCTCATGTTTTTGCCACCCTACTCAGAGAAAAGGGCGATTCCTATTTGGACAAGAGTTTAAGTATGTTGTTCACATTAACCGATAAATAAGCCAATCTAAATTTAATCAGTATAAACAGTCATTTTTCTGTGTTTAGTGTGTTTACTGTTTCTATTTTCTGTCTTTCTCTTAGGAATGGCTGGGACAATATATTTCCTTGCTGACCTACTGGTACCTAACAAGGCCAAGTTCCCAGCTTTTGAACTGTGAATGCCACACTCAATAGTTTTGGGCATGAAACCGGTTGCATTTTATTTTTCAAGAGTCAAATTAAATGGGCCATCATCTCATGTATTTATTGGCAAAGCCAAATCTTTCAGAATCTCGTTTTACATTCTTTTCTGGTTTTGACATGCCATTAAAAGCTAATCACCTTCGTTTTAGTTTTCTGAGTTGATTCCTTTTATTGGAGAGTGGCCCTCCAGAAGTGTCAGTGGGATTTGCAGCACCATTTGGAGGGGCTCATAATTTCTAGCCATAGTGTACAGAAGATGAAACTGACTCTTTGCACAGATAAATGTACCATATTTTGTTAAGGCACTTTTTAAAAATATCAAGTGTATTGCTATTTTATGTATCTGAATTTGAAAGAGGTTTTTTTCTTCTTGTTAAATACAGATTTGTCAATTTGGGCTAGTGCTGCCATTTTAATAGCGCTGTCATTTGGTTAATATGAGGGTATTTTTGGAAGGTGCAAAGGGGAGATACTGTATGTATATGGAGTCCCAACTGTTATGACTTTCTTTTGTAGTAACTAGGACAGATTCTTCTTTAAGAAACATATAGATCTTATTCTTTTGGATGGCTCTTCATGAGGTTGCAATGACTACTTTGATAGGAATGTACCAAAGTCCAATGTAAGCTCTCACTTTCTTGCTTTCTATGCAAAAGTTCCCACTTGTCTGGTGCTTGCTTCAGCAGCAGGACTCAGCAAGCTTCTCACACTTGAACTACCGTGTCTCTTCCACAAATGCTTTAAGCTCTGGGGCTGTCCATATGCAACAAGCATCTGGGACATCCTGGTCTATCGTCCCACGCTTTCCCTTTCATCTGCGAAGTGAATGCATCCTCTCTAGCACAGCAGTGTACTGTGAGATGCTTTGATAAATGACTATCCATCATTCCCTGTTTGTCAGCAGCCTAAGGTTAATCCAGGCTGCAGATGTTCAAGGGGATGACTGCAAATTCCAACGTCTCCTTCTCATGTCCATTTATATAAGCACCAAATATCATCCAGGGTAAACGACACGTATGAAAGTTTAAATGACTGCTTTACTCTTTCCAGTTCATTTCCAGAAGGCACAACTAGTTCAAAACTTTCCCAAATTCTGTTGCAACATATACAACTTTAGATCTTCCAGTGTTTCTTATAATGGGCAGCTAAAAAGGACACTACTGCAAGAATGTAGGCCATCTCTTTTAGACAGCAGCATTAAACGTTTGAGTATATGCTGTATAAGGCAGGCACTATGAGAAGACATGCATTGTCATTGACAAAATATTTCAGCGTTGATTGTTCAGAAGATTAATGTGAAGCTGTTGAAACACAAGGTGGCTAATCTAGCTGTTGCTGAGTGTCATGGCTTTAGCAATTAAACCTGCTTTGGAAAACACTTCGTTTTGTTTTTGTTTTTGTTTTTTCCTCCCTTCTAAGGAGCGTACATGGGGCAAGAAAACTAAAATATTGTTTTAAGGAATAGAGGATGCAAGGATCCGTATCCAGGGTATGAATATGTTGCGTAAATTAATCCTACAGTGTGTGTGTTGTGCCTTGCCTTTAACCATAAGAGATCATCTATATAAATAAAAGTGTAATGTTCGTTTGTGGGCTTGACATAACTCAAAAACCACTGGATGAATTGATAGCAAATTTGGGCACAATACACCTATCAAGCCAACGAGTGATCATCACTCATAAAAACACTGAAAAACACAGCAGAAGGGACTTAAAAAGCCAAAAAAACCCCAAAAATTACATTACAATGCATGCACAAAACCACATATTTATTTATTTATTTACAGTATTTATATTCTACCTTTCTTACCCCGCAGGGGACTCAGGGTGGATTACAATGTACTCATACATGGCAAACATTCAATGCCATAGACATATAACACATATATTCAGATTTTGCTGTTGTGTGCTTTCAAGTCATTTTTGACTTAAGATGGCTCTGTCACAGGGTTTTCCTGCCAAGATTTGAGGTTGAGTTGACCAAGGTCACCAGATGGGTTTCAGTAGCTGAGCAGGAATTCGAATCCTGGTCTCCAGAGTCTTAGTCCAACACTACACCATGCTAATATACCTATAATAATAATAATAATAATAATAATAATACTGTTCTTACCCACTTCTCTTCCGGTGAGGCACAATACATTTAAAAACAGGTATTGTAAAACATTATGTATATTAAAACATATTTTTATAAAATGCATACATGAGTTTAAAATTTATAGTTGAAATTGACTGGGCGGTTAGGCCTACTGGAAGAGGGAGATCTTCCAATGGCTGGTTTAGCTGTTGAAGCTCCACAGTCCTGGGACGGCTGATGAAAAAAGCCTCTGGGTTCTGGCAGACTGGAGTAGACACCTCCAAAGGATGCAAGTGTCTGGCACAGGAGAAGGTGATCCTGTAGGTAGTCTGGACCTAAACCATGTAGAGCTTTAAAGGTCAAAAACAACACTTTCTACTTTGTCCAGAAAAGTAGAAAGTAGGCCTGGGTAACAACGGAAAAATTTGTTTCTAAAATCGATTTGTATTTGGGGGTTTTTTTTGTTTCGATATTTAAAATAATTACGAAATTTTCCTTTTAAAAAGTTCGATATTTACGAAATTTCATAAATGGTAAAAAATTAATGAATCGATTTCCAAAACAATAACGAATCGATTCGTTAATGGCGGACGCGAGCGCGAAATACGCTAAAAAACCTCCAAAACCTTCTGAAGCTTCCCTCTCCCTCTGTTGTTGACTGTTGGTGTGATATTATAATTTTTTTTCACTAATTAAACCATAAAACTGGCCCAGACATGCGGAAATAACGAAACGACCTCAAAACAATAACGAAACAAATACAATATCGAAATACGAAGCATTTACAAAACGTTTTTGAAAATTCGTTTTTTTTAATAATTGCTCCAGAATGGTTCGTTATCGTTTTGTAATTGAAAAAATTAACGAATTATTAACGAATTACGAATTAACGAAACGAAACCGCCCAGCCCTAGTAGAAAGTGTTGGCAGTCAGTTGCATTGGGGTGATATGCTCACTCCTAAATGTTCCTGTAACTCAGGGGTCCTCAAACTAAGGCCCGAGGGCCAGATGCGGCCCTCCAAGGTCATTTACCCGGCCCTTGCTTAGGGTCAACCTAAGTCTCAAACAACTTGAAAGCACACAACAACAACAACAACAATTTTATCAGTCAAAAGCAGGGCCACACTTCCCACTGAAATACTAATAAGTTTATATTTGTTAAAATTGTTCTTCATTTTAATTATTGTATTGTTTTTAAGTGTTTTTTGCGCTACAAATAAGATACGTGCAGTGTGCATAGGAATTCATTCATGCTTTTTTCAAATTATAGTCCGGCCCTCCAAGAGGTTGAGGGACTGTGACCTGGCCCTCTGATTAAAAAGTTTGAGGACCCCTGCTGTATCTAGTCTGGCTGCCGTGTTTTGAACTAATTTAAGTTTCTGAACTTGGTACAGAGGCTGCCCAATGTAAAGTGCATTGTAGAAGTCCAACCTTGAGGTTACTAGTGTGTGCACTACCATTTTAGGTCCTCCAGTTCTAGAAAGGGACACAGCTGGTAGCCGAAGCTGGTAACTCTTGACCGTCATATTTCCCTGGGCTGATATTTAGAGAGACAGATCCATGAGAATTCCCAGGTTGTGAACACAGTCTTTCAGGGGAAGCGTAACCCCATCCAGAACTGATCGATACTGGCAAGCATCTCTTTCTTGTCCGGATTCAGTTTCAATTTGTTTTTCCTCATCCAGCCCATTACCTCCTTCAGGCATTATTTTAGAAGATACATACTATCCTTAGTTGAGGCTGTTTTTGAAGGTATGGAGAAATATATTTAGGTGTCATCAGCATACTGCTAACACCCCACACAATTTCTACAATTCATTTCTCCCAGCAGCTTCATGTAAATATTAAAAACAGCTGGGGATAGAATGGCACCTTGTAGAATGCCACATAATAGCTCCTTTTTTGAGGAGCAGCTAACCCCAAGCACCACTATCTGGAGCCTGTCTGAGAGGTATAACCACAACCACTGTAACTCAGTGCCTCCAATTTCCAACCCCTCCAGGTCCTTTAGGTGTATACCATGGCTAATGATATCAAAAGCTACTGAGAGGTCTAGAAGCGCCAACAGGGATGCACACAGTTTGTCAGTGTGAAGATTGAGATCATCTACTAAGGCACCCATCACAGTCTCAGCTCAGTATCACAGTCTCAGCTCAGTATCTGCTCTGAAGCCGGTTTGAAATGGGTTAAGGAAGTGTGTGTCATCCAAGACTGCCTGAAGTTGGAGAGCCACTGTCTTCTCAAGCACCTTGCCCAAAAATGGAGGGTTGGAGACTGATTTGTAATTATTGAGATCCAGGGGATGCAGGGAAGGCTTTTTCAGCAGTGGTCTAACCATTGCTTCTTTTAAACAGGAGGGAAAGTTCCCCTCCCTGAGAGACGCATTAATAATTCATTGTATTTGAGATGGAATTGCATTTCCTCCTTGGATAACCAGCCAAGAGGGCTTCTCCCAACAGCTTACATGCCCCAGCAGCAAAAGATGTCCCATGTTAAAATATTTGCTGGAATATAGAAGAGAGATGTTTCCCTTCCGGCAGGTGGCAGTGAAGGTCAATGATTTTTAAGTCATAGGCAGCAACGACTAGAATTCAGATCAAGAACAATGTAAGCAAGGCTGCCATGTCCCAGCTCCCACTCTCCATTGTGACACCTCAGCAAAGCACAAAAGCTCTCCAGACATTTGACAGTGAAACCCTCCTTTCAAGTGCTACACGGAATTGTCTCTTTCAGAAAGTCACAACTGCCTGGTATTAATTTTTTTTATCACATACTGTTGCCACTCTTGGAAACAAACCTTTTTTCTCTCATAGGCACAGAGAATATTGGAAAGTGAAACTTTTGATGGATGGATTGGACAGGAAAACCTGACCTTGCCAAATTTCTATGTAACAGTTTTAAAATCACTGAAACAGGACAGAAGTGGGGGGAACAGAAGTCATCATTGAGTTGTCGGTAAAGCCATGAAATTCTTTAGCTGAAAACTGATGATCTTTTGGAATCTTTGGCCATTATGACACTAAAGAAGGAGGAGGAGGAGGAGGAGGAGGAGGAGGAGGAGAACAACAACAACAACAACAACAACAATTTTATTTTTCTACCCCGCCTCCATCTCCCCGAAGGGACTCGGGGCGGCTTACATGGGGCCAAGCCCAGGGCAACATACAGTTAAAAACAAAACGATAACATATTAAAATAGCATAAAACAGTATATTTATTTATTTATTTATTTATTTATTTACTTCATTTGTTGACCGCCGCTCTCAGCCCTGGGGCGACTCGCGGCGGTGCACAACATGTAAAAAACAGTCTACAAAACATACAATATATCAACAATCAAATTGCACATTAATCTAATCACACTAAAAAAAATCCGCGCCATCACACATAGAATCAATAGCCAATCTCATAGTCCGTAGTCCGTTCCAAGTGTCATTGCCAGATTCGTGTGGCTCTCAATTAAATGCCTTCTCGAATAGCCAGGTCTTTAGGCTCTTACGAAAAGCCATGAGGGAGGGCGCCTGTCTGATGTCAACAGGGAGGGCGTTCCACAGCCGGGGGGCCACCACTGAGAAGGCCCTCTCTCTCGTCCCCGCCAGGCGTGCCTGTGAGGCGGGCGGGATCGAGAGAAGGGCCTCCCCAGATGATCTCAAGGCCCTCATGGGCTCATAGGCCGAGATGCGGTCCGAAAGGTATTTTGGGCCGGAACCGTTTAGGGCTTTGTAGGATAACACCAGCACCTTGAATTGGGCCCGGTAGCAGATCGGCAGCCAGTGGAGCTGGGACAACAAGGGCGTTGTATGCTCCCTGCGTCCCGCTCCCGTTAGTAACATGGCTGCCGCGCGCTGAACTAGCTGAAGCTTCCGGGCCGTCTTCAAGGGCAGCCCCACGTAGAGAGCGTTGCAGTAGTCAAGGCGGGATGTGACCAGAGCGTGTACCACCGTGGCCAAGTCAGACTTCCCAAGATACGGGCGCAGCTGGCGCACGAGCCGAAGCTGTGCAAATGCTCCCCTGGTCACCCCTGAAACCTGGGGATCCAGGCTCAAAGATGAATCCAGGGTCACACCCAAGCTGCGAACCTGCGCCTTCAAGGGGAGTGCGACCTGACCAGCACAGGTTGCAAACCTATACCCTGTTCGGCCTTGTGACTGACCCGGAGGACCTCTGTCTTGTCTGGATTCAACTTCAATTTGCTCACCCTCACCCAGACCGTCACAGCGGCCAGGCACCGGTTCAGGACTTGACAGCCTCCTTAGTAGCAGGTGGAAAGGAGTGACAGAGTTGGACATCATCTGCGTAC